TAGGATTTTAGGTGTATCTACAGAAATATTGAACACAAGTTTAAAGAGGTTATAATTTCATTGTACATGTCAATGGTTAGGCTACATATAAATTTTGACAAGGTAGGAGTCATCTTCATTTTTCTAACAGGGTGGTAGGCCTTTGGAATGGGTTGCGTTCGGATGTTCTAGATGCAGTAAATTCAAGTGAGTTTAAGGAAAAGTTTGATAAGTATATGAATGATAAGGGGTAGCTTTAAGATTTTTTTTTTTAATTTTAATTTAGTTTAGAGGGTGGAACAGCCAAAATGGATCAATGTTGTCCCAAAATGTTATGTAGATTTACATAGAAATATGTAACTAGCAATATGTTTTTCTTTTTTCAGCTCTGTTTGTTTTACTGTAAAATTTCAATTTTTACTGATTAGCTACACATATCACCCTATGCAGTAAACCATATCTTTCATCAAATCCAAAATTACTGCATACTGAAAAAAGAATAAATGGACTACAAGAACATTCTGATAACAATAGCATACTTCTTTCAGGTTCTTGTTTAACTTGCTTCCTTTCTTGAACCATTCTGTTGGTGTTGATTTTTCCAGAAGCACTAAATCCTCGATAAACTGGAATGGTGGGTGCAGGGGCTACTTTACGCGAGACATTTTGGTTAATTAGCTGTATCTCAGCATGAACCTTCTTTGGACATGTACATCCTCTATGAAGTTCAGAAGGCAAATCTGTAGCATTCTGCTCCAGATCTTTGGAAACTTCTTTCTTAACTTCCAGATCTGGACTTTTGATAGGTCTTGGAGTGATAAAAACTTCAACTGCTGATTGCTGAGCCTCAGCATTTACAGATGCTCTGTCAGTGAAATCTTTTTTTTGTCTTTCTATAAGATCTTTAATTTTTTCTAGGCCACCTAAAGAACAGAAAAATCAACTTTGATACTGTAGCAAAGATTTATACTACAGCTTACAGATTTACAATTTTTTAAACCACTTTGTAGAACTGAACTTATTTCACAGACATATCACCAAATCATTAAAAAAGTTGTATAAAAACTACAGAGCCAACAATAATGAAGCTACAATAAGTGTTAATTACTACAAAATGTTAAAATAAGTAGCATATCTTGGAAGACAAATTCATTCATTCATATTACTTGTTCAAACTTTCTCCATGCAGATCAAATACTTATTATTCACTGAAGACTAAAATAAACTATTTTATTGATATCATGATACACCTTTTGATTTTTTGTAATACTCTGTAATGAATCAGAAATTAAACAGAACCTCAATTTTTCTTAAATTTTTATTGTTTTTCATATGAATTTAATATCTTGCTACCTATATGAAGAAGATTTTGATCCTTAAACTTAAACCTTCATATGACATTTTCAAGAACTTTAGAAGGATGGGAGATTTTATGCCTACGCTCACACGATCATGATATTATGACAAACAAACTGCATACCAATAGTCAGGGATATATAACTTCTAACTGCTCTAATATTAAAATTAAGTATGCATTTTAAAGTGTAATATTAAATTTCAATATTGAAAGCTATGTAGGGATGATCTATGTATAGCTGTATCATCCCTATATTCTTGTTTGCATTCTTTTTGACACTGTCATCCCTACATCAAATTACATTTACATAATGATATTTTATTACTTTTTTGTGACATTTTTTCCCCCTGACTGAAAGTTAGTGTTTTCTATGAATACGTGTAATAAAAATATATTATGTGTCTTGATTTTTTTTATTACTCCTTTGCTTCATACATAATATAGGGGTTGGCTCCCTAAAGACACCAATAGTATAATGTACAAAGCACTGAGTATTCTACATGTTACATTCATCTAATGTTCATCTGTTATTGGCTGGTAATTTCTGTTTCACCCTGTACTTAAGCTTTTTAGAGGAACACAAGATTTCTGTAAAAAAGTTAACTTCAAGGGATAATGATAACATTTGTTTACACCAGAATTATGATTTTTTAAAATTACAACTAGTTATTACAACTAAACAATGACATATTGCATTGACCAAAAACACAGAGTGGATCTGGGTTTAAACTGATGTTAGTGATAAAGTAGTTGTAGAGTTATCTCAACTGAAACAAGAAGAAAGATGAAAACTTTGGTGAGTTGGTCACTTTCTGGTTTAGTATTTTAGTGATGGTTTCTTGCCTTTTATTTGGGCTTGTTAGGTAGAGAAACAAATGACAGTGAATGGTAATCATCTTTTAAAGTAAAACTCTCTGCTATTGTTTAATTTTTGGCATGCATGTTTGTACTAAGCCTACTGATTACCTTGGGTATCCCTTACATGTAGAGCCTACCAACTCTATGATAACACTATTTTCTCATAGTTCACACTACTTTTGATAACACTAGCTGAAAAAGAAATAATAGATACTTTTCTTCGATGTGGACTAAACGTTTTTAGTAAAAATTAGGGATACACAGGTAGTAAAATTTGGCCAAATACTGGGTACTAAACTTTGGTCAGTGCAAGGTGTCAGCCGAAACTGAGCTGTCCCATTGCCCCCCCCCTCAAAATAAACATACACAGAAATTAGAAACAAAAACAAAATTGATATTTATTACATTTAACCGAATAATCACCAACAGAACATTCAAGTTTTACTTTCACCTTTCAATGCTTAGCCCCAACTTCTCAAACCCTAACCCCTACTGTTCTCAAAACCCCACCTTCTCCAGAAATCTACTTTTTAAGCCATGCCTGTTATTAACTCCTATTGTTCTCTGAAACCCTGACTTTAAGCAGGTGATCAGTTTTTGTTGCTCAGAACACTATTTTTTTTTTTTTTTTTAACTTAAACCAATTATTGACTGTAACTTTCAGTTACCATGTAAATTGTCACAAAGATTAAAGTTTAGATGCCATTTTCAATTACCTGGACTTGGCTGTTTTTAACTTCAACACTCGGCCAGAGCCAAGTATTTGGCTTGAGTATCCATGCATTCCTGCTAAAAACATTAAAAGCTAACATAATAAAAACCCAAAGATAATGTAATTAAAAAAAAAATCCTACTTTTTGCTCCTGGCATTGGAATGTACCGAAGTTGTTCACTTAACACAGGTGTTCTTTGATACTGTAGAACTGAGTTTTGGTCATTAATGAAACAAACTTTTGTCTCACGAAGAGCTTCAGAATTAGTTTCACTTGTAAAATCACCAAAATCTGAAAGTTCTTTTAGCAAAAACTGTTTTTCCCATTCAGAAAAAACAACATGTTCTGATCCCAAGTTCTTCTGTTGCAGCCATGTGGGTATACCAGAGTTGTATGTCCACTTCCCTAGCCCTACCGAATTAAAATCACCAACTTCTTCCAAACAGCTGTCTTTTGAGCTTGAACTACTCTCTTCCCACATTCTTGTTGATTTTATAGTCCATGCTAAGGTTGTTGCTGGGAGTTTCTCAGGCAAATCTTCCATAAAGCTTTGATCATTGTTATGTACATTCAGACTCTGATAATCAGTATCTCTCTAAAAAACAAGGTTTCTTGTAAATGAACATCATAAAGTAAAAACCATGAGTAATGTTAACATTTTCAAAATATAGTTAAAACTATCGTGTTGTTTGGAAACATTAATTTTTAGAAATGTGCAGTCCAGATAGTAGGACCTTACTAAACACTTCTGTTGATAATGAGCAAACATTTCAAATTCACATAGAATTTTATCATTCCATATTAGTTTTGCTGGATTGTCACCTTAATAGTGAAACTTATAATTCTTCTTATATTCCCTAAAGATAAATCTATAAATAAAACATTACACATGAGGCTTGTGGATGAGAGTTAAATCTAACTGACTATTAGCTCTACTGCTGTCTTGGTTTCTCTTCTTTAGATATCTCTCCTATTACTTTATTACTTTTATTATATATATATGACAAATTTTTGTTTTGACCCTAATGTCTGAAGACTTGTATTATAGTATCTTCAAAGGTAAATAGATGCTGTCTTTACCCATTTATTCCATTAATACAATTGTTAATGGATAATAAAAGGTAGTACATTTCCATCTATAACTGACAATATGAACCAGTAATGTACATGTGGTGATGACAAAATGAAATAACATGAACTAGTTTAACAGATATATTGTCTCCAATTTAGGTACTGACAATATGAACCACTTATAACTACATCACTAGTATGATGTACCAACATCAGTGATGATGATATGAAACAAAATGAGCCAGTTTAATACAGATGTAGTGCTTCAATGTCAAATAAAGCACTTTGAAACAATAAAAACCAGGTTCATATAGATTTATTGTCTGATGTCAGCAATGACAATCTGAAACAATATGAACCAGTTGAACATTACATGGTATTAACAATGACAATATGAACCACCTTAACATTTTCCAGACATCACTTGATTTTTTTCCTTCTTACAGTTGAAATACTTAACCAAATTCAACAAAACTTAGAACAAAATTACTAAATAGCATCAAATTTTGCCTTTAAAAATTATATGAATTGGTTTAGCTTTGCCATCATTTTTGACTTTGTGAAGTATAAAAAATTTTGTTGTGAGAGACTTTAAAGAAAATTTTAAAAAAAACTTTATTTCATCTTAGAATTTCATTTATCTTTAACGTTCATCAGAATATTCCATTTTATATACATCCTGTCAATTTCAGTGTTAACATTTTCCTCTAATCTCTGTACACAGATTATTTTCCTTGTGAAACTACTGTTTATAATTCACGTGAAAAACGTTAATTTGCACTACTGTGTGATGACATATCATGCAGCAAAACTCTCCTCCAACAGGAGTGCAACACACCTCCTTGAGCAAATGCTCCCTTTACATTCACATGCGAAAGTCCTCATTCTTTGACGACGCAAAGAAGAAAAGTGCACAGGAAAATGGGGAGGAAGGGTGGGGATGTGCACGGAGGTGAATATCTATTAGAAATACACTTTCAGGTAAGGAAAATATTAACTTCGAATACAATGACTCATCTCCATGCACCATAAGATGGTGGAAGGACCGGTGTAAAAAATACTTAGATAAGCCACCTTTCAAGAGTACCAAAACAAAAAGCCAATGTGGTGCTACACCCTATGGCACAGACTTCATAGGGGCACACCCATAGGAATCAGCATCTCATCTCAATCAGGGTATACTCTTAGCCCGAGTGAAGGACTTGGAGAGGTGAGAAGTATGAATATGTTGTAACAATGGACAAAATAGGTACATGACTGTTCAAGAGCTTGTACACAAGCTGTTTGAATGCCAATATGTATACAAAGTTGTGGCACATTCAAACTGTACTACTTGTACTCACCCCTATGAACATCTGTCTCTATGGGTCAATAATAGCTGTGGGAGAAGAGCAGATGTAAAATGGTTCCATGCACAGCTCCTCAACCATCAGATACTATGGACTCACACCAGTCATCAGAGGAAAGTGGTGTAGTAGACACAAAGATAAGGATACTTATGAAACTGTCATCAAACATCAGACTCAACAGGGCCAATGCCAGCTCTGGGAGTAGGGTTAATGAGCAATACATCACAGTTGGATATTAAAAAATATCAATAACGCTGCAAGGAAATGCAGTGGTGTCATGTCCTTGCAGGAGTTGGTTAGGGTAAAGAGAAAGTAGGTGAAACGATGTTTGAAATCCATTTGGATATTGTGATGTATCCAGACAGGTTGGGGTGGCCAATACTACACTTCACAAACACCCCTGCCCCACTTCTCAGCATAGAGGGACTTTCAGGTCCCAATCAGTGAGGATTGTCCACAGAACACCACACCAGCAGCTGAGGGCTGGTAAGTGGCAAGGGTCTCTCATGTTGTACTCGAAGGGGAGATAAGAACATTCACTTAAGGTGCCCCAGAGAATGTGCCCAGATTCCCATCGGTCCTTCAGTCCAGAAAGGTCATTTACTGAAGACAATGCAATGGGTAACTGCAAAACCCTATTTTTAAAAGCCAGCAAGCACTAGCCAGAGAGGCAGGCAGAATCACAACTCTGATACTGGCTTTTTTTTATGATAGTGCATTGAATGGGTACAGTGTGAATTGGACTAGAAAAAATTATATATGAATACCATAAGTAGAACTTCAGTAGTTTGCAGAACACCCCTTCTCACAGTGGGAACTAATTGGGCCAGGGCAGGTAGTCTGAATGCTTTCCATCATCCTGGCTGAATGCAGAATTTTGGGTAAGTATACCCTGTAAAAAACACTAGTTACCTGGTGGGATCCAAAAGTAGAAGAACGGTGAAGAAGGAATAAGTAAATCAATAATTAAATCCATTACATGTGTGGGATTAATTGAAGAATGGCCATTGGTGGAAGTCTTGTTTGTTAATGGAGATGAGACAGCCAAATGGTGGGGACAGTTTAACCAATTTACTACAGTCTGAATTCCAACCAGCCTGTATCCCCCAAAATAACCATAAAGCAGTTATACTGTAACTTGTAAAAATGTATGCATATTTTCAAGAAATTTTGCAGATTATTTGTAAGCATTACAAGGCTATCCTACACAAAATATCAGATATTTTTTATTAAATTTTTAGATTTTTAAGGATTGGTTTGCTCACTCTTTCTTTTCAAATGTTGACTACACAACATACAGAGCAATTTTTGATTTTAAGATTAAGATTACTTTTATGCATCAGAAAATTGTCAAATTTCATATGTGAAATTTCTATAAACCCCAGATAATTATAAAATGTTTATTTTTTTAGAAAAACTATATATTTTATCTGTTATTTTCACTATTTTATTTCTGTTTGGGTTTGGTCAATTTGACTGAATTCGTAACCACCATAAAAAATTAGGAAATAGATATAAATTACACTTTTTAAGTTCTAGAGTGACTCCAAATCATAACACAAAACCACAAATGTTTATTTCAAATAGCTGAAATCTCATAACATTATACATCTATATACATTTATTATTTTTATTTTATTGACCTTTCAGCAGTGTCTCACTGGCATTCAGAAGTTGCAATTACAAGGTGCATTATACATCTATACATATTTATTATTTTTATTTTATTGACCTTTCAGCAGTGTCTCACTAGCATTCAGAAGTTGCAATTACAAGGCGCATCCACACTCATGTTACCATATCCAATAGTATAAAACTACCCTTCACAAAGTGCAACTGTCTTAGCTTCGTCCTAATGGACCAGTGTTTTGTACAATACAATCACACTTTGGTTATAATACATTATAAGTATATATATATATTATTACTATTTATATGTAACTTCTTAAATTTCTGTTCTTTTTCTTAAAACATGGAACAGTAAATAAAGAAATATAGAAAACAAAGATCTCTTCTACTTAGGAAGTTTCTACTCATTTACCATAATTTGCTAAGCCTTGTCAAATTTCACATGTGGAGGATGTAAAACAAAATAATTGTTTTAAGTTTTATTTATTCCTGTGTAAACACTCTGCAAAGGCTGAGAAAACCACATGGGAAAATTATCAGCTTTCAATTGGTTATAAACACGTTATACAGCAATGTAGATGTACATAAACAACTATTTTTCAGAAAATAGAACAGATAGGAGGTTCTTATCTTATAATCTAGCTTGTAAATATCAGTAATTTGAGTTTATAATTCATAATAAACTATAGACTTTGTATTTGGACATCACACATATCTAATTTGAACCAAAGCTGTATTCAACATACCACATGACACACAAAAATCAATATTTAGGAATTTTGTTTTAATATTTACTTTTAAATTAAGAAACTAACTAATGTATAATACTAAAATTTCAGTTACAATCTACAGTTTGATACCAGTTTTATTGACATACATTTCTAAAATAGCAGTTCAATAAAATTTTGAATGTAACATGAAAAGAGAAATTAAAGAGGAGATGCGAAAAGGAAGTGTCCACTTTCCCCTGTCATAGAATATAAGTAAAGGAAAGACCAGCCAAGACAAAGAAGAAGGGAAGAGTGGTAATGAGAAAGCAGGAAGATACAAGAGCATAGATATGTGTATAATGGCTACTAATGGTAAGTAGGAATAAGACTTGTGAGTCCAGGGAGAGCAGATACATCCACTAAGATGATAGGGACCAGGGGAAGAGTATGAAGAACCACAATAATAGTCCAATCAGGAAATAAGTAGAAAGGGGGGACAGTGGATATGAAAAAAATGAAAAAGGATAGAAAAACCTGAGACAGAAGAGACTTAAATATCCCAGGAGAACTATCACATGGAATAGGAGGAATATGTGACAATGGAAGGTAGTCAAATAGAATGGCGACAACGAGACCAAGGTGATAAGTATGTCCCACACATCAGCACTCAGAAGAGGTAGAAGAGAGATAGGAGTGGGATAAAAAGGACATCTATATGATCAGAAAGGCGGATTGGATGATCACACATGCTATAATAAAGGAGTGTCATATTCATAGGAAATAGCACTGTGTAAGGGCGGATCAGAGAAGATGGAAAGATGGGAAAGGGGGAAGAC